GTATGTATTTATATATAAAAAACTTTTTACCATGAACATAAATTTTATTCTCACAATTATCATGTATCTCAAATTTAAATCTTACCGCGCATTCATTGTACTCGAAGTAGAGATATAATAACATTGATTAGTTCCGTTCATTGTAGTTCAAAGCCAAATGAAAATTTTCACAAGATCGTTTAGATTCTTATATAGGAACTCTAGATGTCGTAGAACGAAAGCGACATCTCGATCGAATTAAATCAGATAACCACTTTTGACTATGCTTTTTAACGGCCTGGTCCATATAAGTTTGGACTTCGGCCTACTATTCTCGAATCTGTATTCCATGACCGAACCGAACAGAGGATTGGCGCGCACCGTATATCTGCATCATAAATAGGCTGTAATTTCTTAACTTATTCGAATTTCTTTCTGTAACTTTGAGAATATATTTTCTACATTTAACTACTATCGATTAAAGCAAACAAAATTTTTTCAAATTTTTTTAAACCTGTTACACGAAGCGACCTCTTTAATATCTCGTTAACCATTGCGAAAATTGTAAAATGGTAGAGGACTTTTCGACTCAATTTAGTCCGCCCTATCTACACAAAAGCGCTTGGCAAAAAATTGCAGGACACACTGTATATCAATAATTTTATATAAAACGTATTTGACATCGTTAATTTTTCGATAAAAACTTATTAGTTTTTCAAAAGATCGAAAAATCAATGTTAATTATTACAATGTTACATAATTTCAATATTTTGTCTATGTAATTAATATTGCGTAATAAATATAAATTATTTATATTTTCTTTACACGATTAAATACTGTTACGTCCGGCGGACTCGCACGACTCTTTTCTTTCGTAGAGATCTGGAATTCGTCGAAACATAAAAATTTTATCTTCCTTCCCTTTTTCTGTATATTAAAAACTAAAACAAGGAATCCGGTGTCTTCTCGTGAATGTCGCTCCGAGATAAACTAAATCAATAACAAATAAGAAACGGCACGCGACGTTCGGGGATAGATGCTGGGTAGTGACGATGCATGGATGGTTTATCGGCGCACGAGACGTGCGTTTTCCCATAAATCTCGAGATCATAAAATTTTGGAAGACACCTTCCCATACTACAGATTCCTGTCAACATCCTTTCCTTCCCCAAAATCTTGACCAATCCAAGATCAAAGGAAAATCCTACTACCAGCTAACGAAACCTATTCCACCAATCCAAATTTGAGTAATCTGGGGCGATTAGTATAAAAATCGCGGTTCCGCGGCCCTTGGTGTCATTTTTCCTTGAGTTTTGGGAGGCTACAGTTGTCGCGATATTTAAAAAGGCTTCAACCGATTTTCGAAGCCCCTTTTCTCCAGTAGAGTCAATGTTAAAGAAACATCACCAGCCTTGCACATCCTGGCCGGAGGATCTCCAACGATAAGCATCTCAGTAGTAAGTCAGTATATCTCTATTCTCTGGCCTTCTTGCTTTATCTTTTGGTAATTTATTTCAATATTTCATTTTGTCTTTTTTTATTATTCATTTATTTTATTTTATTTTTATTCTTTTCTTTCTTTCTTTCTCCCTTTTGACCTACAAGAAAATGGGAACATTGCAGTCCGTTCACGTTATAATTCCAATTTGTCGCCGTCGTCTCACGATAATTCGCCCCCTGTCGGCCGGTCATTCGCTAACACTATCATCATCCGAAGAAAATTAGGCCAAACCCTCTCAAATCCACTCACCAAAACCTCCTCTTTTTATTCTCTCGCTATCCTCTCCGTAACTCTTCTATTCTGCCACGATGCTTTACGCGCGCGCACACACACACATACGCACGCACGCACACACGCATACACACACACACACACACACACGCACACACACACTCTCACACATCCATAAATGGGTATAACTCAGAATAGAGAACTAAAAATTGTATTATTTTTTAATTTACTCGACAAAAGTGTATTTATTTTTTATTCAAAAAATGTATCACTTAAGTTTGCTTTTTTTTATTATATCATTATTAAATTAACTTCTCCGTAGTCTTTATTCAAATAAAACTTCTCCTCGTAA